TCCCAGTCCTACTGCCAGTTCCTGGAAGACACCTTCTTCAAGCAGTGGTACAGGAAGAAGTCTGCATCCTCCAAGAAAAACATGATTTTCATGCAGGACAATGCTCCATCACACGCGTCCAAGTACTCCACAGCGTGGCTGGCAAGAAAGGGTATAAAAGAAGAAAATCTAATGACATGGCCTCCTTGTTCACCTGATCTCAACCCCATTGAGAACCTGTGGTCCATCATCAAATGTCAGATTTACAAGGAGGGAAAACAGTACACCTCTCTGAACAGTGTCTGGGAGGCTGTGGTTGCTGCTGCACGCAATGTTGATGGTGAACAGATCAAAACACTGACAGAATCCATGGATGGCAGGCTTTTGAGTGTCCTTGCAAAGAAAGGTGGCTATATTGGTCACTGATTTGTTTTTGTTTTGTTTTGAATGTCAGAAATGTATATTTGTGAATGTTGAGATGTTATATTGGTTTCACTGGTAATAATAAATAATTGAAATGGGTATATATTTGTTTTTTGTTAAGTTGCCTAATAATTATGCACAGTAATAGTCACCTGCACACACAGATATCCCCTTAACATAGCTAAAACTAAAAATAAACTAAAAACTACTTCCAAAAATATTCAGCTTTGATATTAATGAGTTTTTTGGGTTCATTGAGAACATGGTTGTTGTTCAATAATAAAATTAATCCTCAAAAATACAACTTGCTCTAATAATTCTGCACTCCCCTGTAGAGATGAATTGAATCAATGCATCTCTATGAGGAAAAGTTCAGTGTCTGCATGCAGAGGGAGGAGATACTTCGAATGTTTGATGCATTTTAGGCAGCCATGACCCAGGAAGATCTCTAACAGCCATCTAAGGAGTGCTTCCGCGCAAAAGGCCCTGAAGGTATGATTCACCACCAGAACAACGTTAAGCTAGAAGTTGTTCTGGTACTATATGGTCCCTAAATATTAAAAAAAAGGAAATAAATTTGAAGATAAAAAAACTAAACGAAATTTTAAAAACAACCTTTAAAAAAAAAAAAAAAAAAAAGGCATGTGGGTAATATGCGTAAATTTACTGGCTACTGGAATGAAAATTATATTTGTAATAAATGTGCACAGACAGTCTACATCATAACTGATAAAGTGGGAAGCTCAATCACTGTGTAAACATGTACCTACAAAACTACAAAGAAAACAGGGCACATGCAGTATAATGCCGACTTCTCAGATCAGTCACAGAAGGGGAGCAATAGTTAATTAATACTTGAATTGAAACATTGTATAAACTTACAACCAACTAAATACATGTTGAAGAAGTTACCTCAAGGGTACAGATGGTGATTGTGGAACCTTTGGCTAGTCTACTGAGGGTTAGTCTCTTTCGTTTGCCAATATTTGACTCCTTCAGTCCACCAATAATTCTCTCACAATCCAGT